TCACATCTAGGAAACTCGTCACACTAGTCACATACACATCCATATTAGGATATGTTTTGATATGACTTGTTTTTTCCTTAATAAAAAGAATACAAAATAAATGTTATGACAAATAATATCACAGGACATTATCTGGGAGCAAATACAAGGAAATCAAGGCCAGAAACAATAAACACACAGAGAAATAGTTATGTTTTGATTTCTCTTGTTTTTCTGTAAAAGATTGATGTTAAAAATAATATCACAGCTTGTAAGGACAGTACCACATAAAGGAAGTCAGGTCAGAGACAGAGCATAGAGGAAAACAAATAGAAAAAGGATCAAAGACAAGAACAATCAATTTGGAACAAGAAATCATTTATATTATGGGTGAGCTAATTAGCCTGGGACATATCGACTGAGGCTTCTGAGAGCTTTTTCTGTTTTTTCCATCTACGAAGCAAAAGTCAGCAACGACGAGACCACGCAGAATAGAGGAGACTGACGCGATCATTTTCCCAAAGACCCACGTAACGTCATCGACCATCTCGTGCCATTCGGCAGTAGGACGATTCTTTGCGGCCAAAAACCACCATTTGAGGCAGATCAGCACGTTGTAGAAACCGTTCTTTCCAGGAACATCCAGAACGGCCCAGTCCCCTTCGACATCTTTCACAATCTTGCGCCCATTCACACGCCAAGAAGGATTAATATCTCTCCACCATTCCGTCACCTGGCTACCAAAGCGCCCCACATTGCAGATACCAGGGTCGTAGCTGGGGCTCCGCGCAGTCTTCGACCAAGCGCCAACGCAGACGGGACGCTTTGCTGTCGAATGATACTCTAACTATATGTCTAAGGTGAGTGCTTGTCTTTGAGGAAAGCAGTACGACTCACCGACTTCAAGAAGCCTTCATCTCCCTCGTACTGTTGCCAGATGTCCACAAGACCTCCCCATGCAGCTCCGGCCGCTTCCATATCTGCCTTCAGCTGTTCCTCTGCTGGCTTCGCCCACACACTCACGTCCGTCGTCGACGCCTTCGTTTTGGGGGCTTTTCTGGCCTTCTTTTTTTTGGGGGGACCAACTTTCTGCAACGCGAGTTCGATCGCACGAAGTTCTTCATCGCCAGAGTTGTTTCCTTCCCCATCATCAACCGAGGACTCGTCCACCTCCTTACGTTTCCTCTTCTTCGCTTTCTCTACCATCGTATCGGCTCCATGCCACGTCGCGGGATTGCGTAGGCCAGGATGGATAGCTGGCATCTGTGCTTCAGCCGAGGACGCGTGGGACTGTGCTTCAGTCGCGGGCTGGCGGGACTGGTTGGTGGACTGGTTGGTGGGGACATCGCGAGAGGCGGAGTCTTGGGGGGCTCTCTGTTCTGAAGTCTGCGCCGGGGCAATTATGCTTCGTTCGGTGAGTTTTTTTCTCTACTTCATCTGATATAACATTCATTTTTAAGTCTTCTTTCAGCAAACGACTCACAGCTAGTCGTCACATATCTTGAAAACCCCTTCGCAATCTCGGCAAAGGCAATAGGCTCGAGTTTGGCGATGTCGTTTTGCTGCGGCGCATCGGAGGAAGCCTGAGATTGCACGCTAGAGAGACAGTTCAAACGGTGTAGCCAGAAAAGCACTAACATATGCTCACCTACGCACAAAACACGAAACTTTACTGTTCTCCTCCCGGATCTGGCCGTACATCAACAAAATCTTGCATCCAGTATACAGCTCAAGCCCATTCAGCAACGGTTGAATCACGTCGGGCAGTCTAGAACGAGCTCTGTTATTTTGGCGTCAGTTTAGAACAAGAACTCCAGTACCAACGCACTCGTCCATGTCTTCAATCAACGCAGAAGGTTCCCCTTCTTTGGCAGATCGGTAGGCTTCCAGTTGTTCCTCGTGGTCTTCGTCAGCTTCACGCCGAATACTAGCACGAATCTGCTCCGATTCCTTGTTCAAAAACTCGGCAGCAATGTCGCATCGAAGCTTGAGATGATCTTTCGAAGGTGCGGAGAGATAACCCTTCGCTTCAAACTCCTTCTGAATCGCTTCCTTATATTCAGATTTGCTCATGTAGAACTGGAGGTCCGTAATGCGGCGTGGAGCGAAGCCTGTAGGCTTACGGAGGCCCTTCAAGAGCGACTGGAATGGATTGGGCTTTTGGTGAGCAGCGCGTTGCCGACCGAACCAGGCGATGATGGACTAAAAAGTGATGTCAGTTTTATTCGAGGTCGACACATAAAGTTCCTCACCTTTTCCACTAGGGTGATGACCTTGTTCATTGCAGCCTTGCCCTCCTCGTCGCTCGGCACCTCGCCGAGCTTTTCAAGCTCGTCCTCATCCTTGGGAGGCTCCTCTTTCAAGGAACAACGCCAAGGCGACAGCTTCCACCACTTGGGGAAGATCTCGTCCCACAAGCTTCCTGACCCACGGCGGAACTTCTTCTTGGCCTTCGAGCGAGCCAAGTACTCGGGCAAATAGCCCTGGAGGAAGTCCAGTCTGGCTCCGGTAAAATTCCCCTTATTGCCTCGTTTTTTCTGACCTCTTGCCACAGGGGTGGTGTTGCCGCACGCGATATAGATGGGGAGACGGATGGCGATGGCGCTGGGGACTCGGATGGAGCTCGAGGAGCGGGGCTGGCTTTTTTCTGCTTTCCTTTGCTACTTCGAGCCATTCTGCAGTTAATCGGGGCAAAACAAGGGGACAGCAACGAGGATAGCGGAGCAATTACGATTAACTTCTGGTCCCTCTGAACGTTCCACCGACTAAACCCGCTATTTGGCTGCCTCATTGGAGCTCAAAGACTAATTGTCATTGTCACGAGCATACGCGCTACTTGCTTCAAACTACCATGTCCTCCCCCCAACTTCCCGTCGTCACTACCACCCCCCAGCTCCCTGCCGTCGTCCCCGCCGTCGTCCCAACAAACTCCCAAGCATCGGACTTGTCCACCATCCCCTTGACTCCTGCCCAGTTAGCGCGCATCCGTCGAAAGTTGCCTCCCCTGGTAATTATTTGCTTTTTTGTTGTCGCTCGCTGCTGATGAAACTTCAGGCTGAGCGCACTCTCAATGTGCGGTACTACCATGTCAACGGCAAGAGTGGGCAGCGTCCCCTTGTCTTCGACTTCCGCCTGGACGAATTGACCGTCAGCGATGTGGTCAGCGCCTTTGACAGTGCCTGGGACTCGTCCCCTTTCCACTGTGCAGAGTGTCTCCATGGTTGGACAACACTGGCTGGTCGAAAAATGGACATTCAGTTCACCGTTCTCCATCGATGCCGCCACGAACGCCCAGACGACGCTGTGGGAGACGAGACAGCGAATGACGCGATCCGCCAGCTCTTTCCAGAGCCTCTTTATAGTGTCGAGGGCAATGTGTACGTGATCAAGCACAGCGCCATTCCCATCAACATCGACAACCCTCTTCCCGGGCTGCCGCAAGGGCTGGTGTTCACCACGCCCAGGAACATCGAGGAATCGGATGTGCCTCTTATCGACCTGTTTGTTCGACAGTATGAGATCTCCTTTCCTGGTTTACCCTTTACTGAAGATTTACTTCCTTAGATGGGCGTTTGGTGGGCCTTATGGCGTGCCGGTCCCTCCCGAATGCGTACGACATCTTGGGCCAAGGGCATTTTGAATGAGAATTAGATCGTGTCGTTGTTGTTTTATAATATACTTGAACCATCTCTTTTTTGGCCTCATTTGTGAGCGCGCGAAGAATCCGTGTAAAAGAATCAGCATGTCGTGTCTGGCACTATGTAACTCGAATGCCGCGCATCGGGCGCTTGACATCCGGAAGTGTCAAGAAGCTGGGCGCTTAATTTGATTAGACGCTGCCCCAGGATGAGGTCGTCACAAAAACAAGTCAACGGTCTCGCACAAAACAAGATGAGAAAAAAGCACAGAAAATATATTGACTTTCTCTGCAATAGCCCCTGTTAGAATATGTAAAAAAAATTAGTACTGCAGAGATCCCATGTTTCATGATAAACATGAACGTGCTCATCTCGGTGCAACTACAGTAGAGGACTTGCGTCGTTTGTTGAGATCCTTTCATGAGTTGAAAATGTTTGACAGATTCACTCAGCCAAATTTTGGATAATCTTCACAGGGCAATGTCCTCCAATATATCAGTATTTTTTTCTGAATTATCAACCAGAATCTTACCACCATAGTTCACATGTTCCTTGCGACGACTGCCTCTTGGCAGGTGAGCGCTGGGTTAGCGCCGAGTTAGCGCCGAGTTGTGACATCGTGACACCTCACTTGTCTCTTGTCTTCAATGCCAACGCCGACCAAATATCACAGTCCTGAAGAACGCCTCGAAGCGAAACGGGGGAGCGCGATCGGCGTTATAGAGCTAGTACAAGGTACGTCTGGCTCGGAATTAGAGACAACGCTGGAGCATCGAAGGCTGGATAGAGAGATCACTTTCCATTGCCTGGACATTCAGGCCCGCACCCGCACAGGCCAGTATTAGTATTGTTCCATCATCCTCTTCGCGTCCCTTATGCTGACCAACAACTAGAACGACGCAATGCTCTTCACAGCATTCAAAAAATCCAGGTGGAGATCGGCAAAGTGAGGTCCCAGCTCGCGACAATGCGCCGACAAATCACCCAAAAGTGGATTGCGACTGAAGACAAATCGCAATACTGCCGATGCATCTTTTTTTTCTTGGTAGATACTTGTGCTAGTATACAGCTCGCCGTCTATAGTCGTTAATAGAGCTTGTGTCGAAAGCCATTGTACCTCGAGTATAGCCTAGCCTAGCCTGTCAGAAGCTTGTGTGTCGAAAGTCGGTCGAAAGTCAGTTCCCCGTCTGTCATTCTCGAAGGTTCTCGAAGGATGATGATCAAGTCAGGTGATCTATCTTCTTCCCTCATCTCCTTGTTGATGACCTTCCGTCCATCTCCATGAGCATGTGTTCGCCATCGAGAACTCGCAGCCAACACCTACCTACGAATCCCCGCTAGACGCTGGGCTTGCTCGTGTGTCGCAGGATCATCGAAGGTCGTATGTTGAAGCTCAAGATATCGAACCTCCCTCTCCTCTTAAACGACTACAACGAGCGGCCACAACCTCCTCCCCATCATTACCCACTTTCCTTTCGGAACAATACATCATGGGCGAAGGGGATAAGGAGTGGATTCAGACCGCAAGTGTCCCAACGACAATACCTCGCGTTCTTCAGCCAGCGGTGAGTGGTGTGGAGCTCTAGTGTGCAGTCCTGACTGTCTTTGTTTGTATAGGATCGTGCTCTTGCGCAATGGCGAGAGCACTTTCGCGACGCATATCTTCGCATCATGCTCTGGCTCGAAGGGCGAGGCAGAGGCGATCATTCTCATTGCGCTCAATGTGGGCTTGCAGAGCGGGATGCTCTTTTCCGTTGCGAGGAATGTCTTGGGGGCCTGCTGGTCTGCCAAGCCTGCTGCGTTGCTATGCACAGGACTCTCCCGTTGCATTGGATACAGGTAAAGTAGAATTGTTTCAGGGCTACAATGCTAACGAAGACATTCAAGGAATGGAAAGGCAAATACTTCGAACGCACGAACCTGAAGTCCCTCGGACTCGTTGTTCAACTCGGACACTCTCCAGCTGAAGCTTGCCCTCGGAGTGTCCCCCCCTCGAGGTGACTTTGTGGTCATTCACGACAATGGGATACATGAGGTCGCCCTACAATTCTGCGGCTGCTATGCAACAAATGACCCCTACTATGCCCAACTCCTTCGTTTCCGCTGGTTCCCTGCTACTTCAACAACCCCTCGCACCTGCGCGACATTCGCATGTCTCAAAAAGTTCCAAATGTTTGCCCATCAGGGGAAGCTCAGCGGCTACGACTTCTACCACGCCTTGGAACAACTCACGAACGCGACTGGGTTCAAACCCCCCGATCGATACCAAGTTTTCTTGCGTATTGCCCGAGAATATCGCCATGTACTGGCTTTAAAGCGGGCGGGAAGGGGACATGCGACTACGGGTGTGGGAGGCACTGTTTCTGGTGAGCTGGCTATACGCTGTCCAGCTTGTCCACGCCCTGGGGTCAATCTTCTCGAGGGATGGGAGTCGGCAGCGCCGGAGGATAGGTCAGTGGACCAACATCCAAAAGAAAATAGCGCAACTGACAATCAACAGATGTCTGTATCTTATGTTTTTGGCCCTCGACGCCTGCTTCCGTCTCAAGAGGCGAGCCATCTCTAATGAAATCAGGGACCCGGGTCTGGGGACCGGTTGGTCATATTTTGTGGAGTGGGAACCATATCGCGATTATCTTCAGACTGTTAAAACGCAAAAAGAGGTAATATTCTTCGGATTCGTCTTCTACTCGTACTCATTTTGCTCGTCAGATCAGCTCATGCAGTGGCCTCGCAGCCATCGACCACGCAAACAATAAGTTTTCGCGAGGTTATAGCGCAACTGGAGTGGTCATGGGTGTTTGTGCTCGACACGAATTCATCCAGCCTAACGGAGTTGCCGATCTGCAAGCTGGAGAACGGTATGCAAACATGGACTGGGTCTTTCTCTCGATCCTCCGCCATCTCACTCTCCTCCTTCGACTACTCGTCTCCTATGACATCGCATGTCAGTGGTGGAAGAATTTGTTCGACAGACTCGAAGCCCTTCCTTTCCTTATCTCCCTCGTTTTCGTCTCTACCATGTTTCGATTCGTTGTCCCCAAACTCCACATTCACGGCCATACGATCTCCTGCCAAGTCACTTATTCGCTCAATCTGGTTCCGGGGAGTGGGCAAACGGATGGGGAAGGGATAGAGCGGCCTTGGAGTAACTTGGGGCGGCCTTGCGGCAAGCACGCGGGTTTGCGGCCCGGGTGCTCGAGCCGACATACTGGATGATCATATGTCATACTGGAACTGGAGGAAATACGTTGGGCTCCGTAAGTACTCGGCGGTCCCCTTCGAATTGAACCCTGAAACTTACTTTGTTTCAGCATCGCTTTTAAGACGACGACTGGACGCTGCCACCGCGGAATTTGCTCGACAAGAGGCTTCATTTTCTCTTTTCCGTCAGCAACAAGACGAACGAGTTCTGGAATGGCAGAAGATGGTGGAAGACTTTGAAGCGGACGCTTCTAAACCCAATCCTTATATGCCTTGCTTCGAAGGTTGATCTCCTTCTTCATTCAACAACGAAAGACTCACAACTCACAGGTGCTACCGAAGCCCAGATTCGTAATGAGCTAGAGCAAGTGGACGAAGAAGATGAGGCTGCTGGTCGTCGCAGACCTATCCACGATGTCAGCCCTTCCGCATTTGTCCAAGAACTGCTGGATATCGAAGCAGAGCAGTATGATGTCTCGTTTGTAACTATGCAGCGTAAACTCATCTTAGTTTTAGGCGTCGTGTTCTGGCTGAGGCTGAACTCAAGAAGGCAAAGGGCTCAGCTGCCAATGTCACGCTCATGCTCTCGTAGCAATAGCAGGTGGAAACGAGAGGCTTGTGCCGTGGATGAAGCTTTTGAAGGAAGATATCCGCTGTCTCGAGGACTCAGCCGACCTTGAAAAGAAGCGCTTGAAAGCAGAACGAATGGCAAGGCAGAAGGCGCGAGATGACCGTGAGCTCAGAGCTGCAGGAATTGTTCCGCTCATTGTTCGCCGGGAAGAGAAAGATGACGAGGACGACGAAAGAGCGAATGAGGACAGTGACGACGACGTTTTTGGATCTTCAGCGATGACGGGAGCATCTACCCGTCGTCGGGGAGATATTTTTCCTGCGGGAGAAAGCCGGCGGGATATATCGTGGATTTGGAAGTCCTCGGGCTCTTCTGACGAGACGACCATCAGTCAAGAACGAGAAGAGGGTGAGTGAAGTCTTGTTCGAGACTATGGAAGTTCTGACTTCTTTTTAAAGCTCTGCGCATAGAATGGGCAAAGGCATGGGCACGCATGCGTCATTGGAGTGAGGAGGTCCGGATTTTGCAAGAGGAGTGGAGGCGGGTTATTGTGTCGATGAACTTCGAAGCTGAGGAATGGCTGAAGCGAGCCTCATTCGTTCCTACCACCTCGGCTGATGGTGAGGGCATAAGTGCATATGCTCACAAGCAAGCCGACATGTATCGCAAGCTTGCCCTCCGCGCCGAGGTTGTTCGCACTCAACCCAAGCTCAGGAAGGGTGTTCGGAGGCCATCTGCTGATGTCGAGTTGCCAGAGGACGAAGGTGATGGGGTCATCGAGCTGGATCATGATGAGAATGAGCTGGGCAATGGGAGTGATGACGATGAAGAGGAGGATGACAATGAGCAGGAGGACATTAATAATTGAATTTTATGTATGAATTTCGACTTTTTTGATGCCACAATTTCTTTCTGGTGCCGATAATACCTAATGATGCCAACAATAAAATAAACAAGCCCATCAATAGTCACGCAGGGTGTGTATTAGGTGGTGCCGGGCGGCCGCGGGGAAGCCCATATTCTATGCAAAAGACTCCTGGACTCCGGCCCATATCCTATGCGAAAATCTGGCCATACAGGGTGCAGGAGCGGCAGAGATGGTATAACTGCCAGGTAGCTTTTTCTCCCAGGCAAGTCGGCGAATCCGAACGGGGGGCTTCGGAGGGGGCAGAGGGTGCGTCTTTCGTTTCGGGCTCGTTGTAGGGCAAGGGAGTTGATTCATCATACGAACAAGTGAAACGATTTATGGACGCGAACGAGGGCACACCAGTCACTCGTCGCGGGGGACAAAATCCTCTGCCGGAGCCTCCGAATGCGCCTCCGCTAAGGCCGCAGTATCGGACAAACCGCGCAAGCAGTTCTCCCAGCATCTCATCGCCAAGTTGCTGGATTACCTCGTCGAGGATGTCCACATGGCGGACGTCGGCGGGGAGCGGACAGTCCCGAGCCAAATGGTTGGGGTCGCCGCATCTGAAGCAGGCTCGACGAGGGGCACCCCGAGCCCTAGTACGATCCAGCTCCATAGGGACGGGAGCCGGAGGTACCGGGACGGGGGCGCGGGCCGCGGGTGGCACAGGCGGGGCCACCGGGCGGATGGGGAACGGAGTTGCCGAATGAGTGACGGGGAAGGCGCCGCGCGGAGCTCCCGAAGCGGTCCGCGGGGTAGCCGTTCCCTTAATGAGCTTCGCTCGCACCAGGGCTTCATATTGTGGGAAAGCCCGAGTGCGCCAGCCCAGATAGTCACGGAGGTCTGGGGGGTCGTTCGAAGAGGTGATGCCGTTGTTGATCAAGGGGTCAAGTCCGTGGCGGTACTGGTTACCTTAACCAACGCGTCTTGAAGCCAGCGAGGTCCATCAAGTCCTCGAAGTCGTCGGTATATCCGTAGACATCCCGCGTTCCCATGTGATAACCCTGCTTTCCAACTTAGCGAGCGCGAGGTCCTGTTCGTTCTCCTCAACGAACCGAAGGCGAAACTCGGAGAGGAACTGGCTCCACCGAGGGAAGGGGAAGGGGTTTTTGCTCCCATGACGCTCTGCCCATTGCTGAGCAGGTCCCTCCGCCATATAGGACATGGCATAGCGGACGGCCTTTTCTTCACTCGGCTCTCCGTTAACCACGACGGGGCAAGCCGAGCGTAGGTTTTGACCGCGTACAGGAAGGCGCGGCCGCGTTTGCGATCTCCGTTAAACGCAAACGGGGGGTTTGGTCGTAAGACCAGTTTTGAGGCGACAGTAATGTCACCAAATAACGCATCCGCGTCGGGGCATTCGGAGATGCCAAGGCGGTTCGGGAGCTGCCGGAGGTGGTGCGGCAGCGGAAGCCTGGGAAGCAAGGTGGGTGAGGATATTGGTGAGGTTGTCTAGTTTCGCCTCAAGTGCGTCCATGCGCGCGCGTCAGCATCCGGAGCAGCTCCGGTAGACATAGCGGGCGTAAAGACGACAAGAGCAGAGGAGGAGGGGTCAAGTGGCAGGGGCGGTGACGAGGGGGGTACGGACTCGTACTCCGAGCCTGAGTCAGCACCAAACCTGGCAATCTTGACCGGTTAATCCCGTAGAGAGTTTCTTCTGCTGTAAGGGCAACCCTGGAGACTCCGACGAAAGCCTAGCAGGGGAGGATCCAAAGCGTGAATAAGACTACAGGAAATACACGGAGGGACCGACCTAGCAGGGGAGGATCCAAAGAGAAGAAACTCTAAGGGTCCGCCTGCTAGGGCGCCAACTATATACTGGTCGTCCGTAGCTGCCGACGTAGAGCGCAGAAGGCCTGAGCGGCGTCGCAGGCTCTGTCCCAAGGTGATCGTTGGGAAGGTCTTGACGGATCGGTGATTGTGCGGGCGAAGGAGGCCGTGGACGATGGTCGGGGTGGGTCGGAGCGTCCCGAGGGGGCGGCCGGTCGGATGCGCGTCGGATGCGTTCGGAGGGTCCGAAGGAGGCCGAAGCGGGGGTTCCCCTGACACTCTGACAGTTATCAGACCTGTCATGAAGCTTTGTCATTGGCATTTAGAGTTTCTTCTCTTTGGATCCTCTCCTAGGACTCTCGTTGGAGCCTCTGGGGTTGCCCTTACAACTAGGCAACTGCATGGGTAAACCCCTGGGTTTTTTACGGCTACCCATACCCCTACCCGCACAGCCACCGTACCCGTACCCATGGGTACGGGTACGGATTTACCCATGGGTAGCCGGTAACTGATGGAGATGTGTCAGATATTGAAAGAGGTTAAATAGCCGGAAACTCTGATAAAAAGGCAGCAGTTTGCAAGAGTCAAACCAAGAACATCTCGAGAAATCTACAGGAGTAAAACCACCTAATTTAGGAAGCGACGGGTAGGAAAATCCTGGCAATCCCTTACCCGTACCCGTACCCGCACGGGTAAAACCCGCGTACCCGCACGGGTATGGCCTACCCATGCAGTTGCCTACTTACAACTTTGTAAAATCCATCAGGCCCCGCTCAAGAAGAAAAAATAACCAAACTTGTTTTGCCATGATTACCAATATTACAAGCCATTTCATGTTGGGCTTTAGGTCGGGCTGTGCAAGGAGGCTCCTCTGAAAAACACATGCCCAGAATAGAACAGATGAATTGTTAGCATAAGCGGGGTACTACCCCGCTTACCGGGGTAGAATCGATTGGCTTGGCTTGGCCCGGCCTTGGCTTTGGCAAAAGCTATGGGTTTTCCCAATTAGAAAGTGGGCGGGAAATAGCCATATTTGCTGTACATTTGTGTCATATTTCCAAAGTAACCAATACTAGGACGGATCTGGTCAATATTGGTAGTCAATGGGTGATTCCTTGGCGTGCCAGAGGTTGCGTCAATTTCCTGGGAACTCTGGGTGATGACATCAAGGTCACAGTCACATTCATCCTTGAGCTTCAAAAGGTACATTAAAGATATGGGATGAAATAATTGGCCAGAGTGTGAGCTCTAGGATGAAGTCTTGACATCCTCAACCACCAATTCTATCCCAAATACCTTCAATTCTGCAATCCATCAAATGCTGTGCAAAGCCATGGCCCAAGCCAGTGGCTTTGGCTCGGCTTTGGCTTTTCCTGCCTTGGCCTTGGCTTGGGCCAAAGCCAAGGCCAGAAATTCACTAACAATTATGTACATGTGTAGTGATTGTCATGGGTGGCGTGACCCGTGACAGGCTGTAAGGACGGGCCTGCACAGGTACAGATGCAGGCCTGATCCCCTAAAGCCACTGGCCCTTGTCCTGGCCCACCAGGCCTGGCCACCCTGATAGCCAGCTTCTTATATCCCGTGCATCTTCAGACGCTCCGAGGTTATCCTTGGAGCGCAACAGGGTTTTTACGTGATGAAGGTATCTGAGTGTTTCCCTTCAAACAGTTAATCTGCACGCAGACTCCCTCGGACCTGTACGGACCCTCCGACCATCTTGCCTTGTGTATGTTTTCTCGTTCCCCTTACTTACTATGCCTTTGTACTTAACCTGCAGGGAGATCCTGCGGACCACATCAGATTTCCCTGCGAGGTCATATGCCTTATGCTTACTACTTAGTATAAATACTCGTACTCTACAGTCCTGTACTTCAGTTTCGTTATTAACGTTTCTTGCCTCACTCTCTGCTCTCGTCCGACTCCTCCCCGTGTTCTAAGCCTTATCGCCTTTGGCTTCTCGAAACCGCTACCAGCTTGGCTCAGATGGCTATAACAGCTGTTGCTGGGGAGTTCAAACTCACAATGGCCTCCACAGTCTGTGGTAATACATCAGGAAAGTGAATTAATAGAGGAGTTCAATCAATCTACTAATCCACTAATTGTGTTTGTGTGTGTATGTGTGTGTGTTTGGGGTTTGAGTTGCAGGAAACAACTAACAGATTCAGAATATCCAAATATAGCAATAGAACTTTCTACAGATCACTTTGTACTGTTGTTATGAAACACAGAAGAAGGAACAATCAAGCTCAACCTCTAAAGGGCTTCACAAAATGAAAAAGAGAATGTATCTGTTCTTGACACAAGATGCTAACTCAAATATGCAAACAAACATGCTTCCTTGCCACTTGTTTCCTATAAACAAGATCCCTTGCTTCCCTATCCTTACACTTGCACTTAACCTGACCTAACTTGAACTGGTACCTTGCTACTTGGTTACCTGGTTGTCACACTTGTGACCTAGCTGCCTTGCTTACTTACCAAATATAGTAATAGGTAGGGTGTGATTCGATAGTCTATCTGTTGAAAGAACAGGAGAGAAGTTCAATGTTTATTCTGTAACGTAGTACAGTATTTATACTACTAATGAATATTCTAGTAAGTTCTACTAAAGTCTGACTGGGATCAGTCAGCGTCGGGCTGAGTGATCCGCCCGGAGTTCGCTAGAGTAAGCGATATTACAACACTCCCCCTCGAACGTAGCGGCGGAGCATGCCTGGAGAGGGAATTTGGGCAAGTGATGCCGCAGATGGGAACTGTGCCTGGTGAAAGGCAAAATCTCGTGGAGTTGTCGTTGAGCCAGGGTTGGCCAACAACGGAGTTGGCCTTGCCTGATTTGGCGCGCCGGAGGTGTGGGAACATGGCTGGAGGTAAGCCGGATGAAAATAGGCCGGGATCGGCCGGTCGTGGAGCCGGAGTCAGTAGCTTGGCTATGCCGGATTTGGTGTGCCAGAATGCTGCTTGGCCGCGGGCGGGCCCGAATGATGGGTTTGGCCGTGTACCGGGGCCGGGCCTGAGTTGGCCGGACATGGCGGTGCCAGATTTGGCGCGCCGGGAAGTGGGCCGCGAGTGGGCCGCGAGTGACTGTGCGTGTGCCATGGCCGCGTGTGGGCCGGAAATGAGGTGGCGGTGGCCGCGAATGGGCCGGAAGAATGACGGTAGACATGGCCACGAATGGGCCGGGAACGTAG